ATATGCTTTATAACAAACTGTTCTCCCCCCAGTTTTACAAGGCATAGCTAGTTGACTTATATAAAAACATGAATTAAAAGAATTAATCTTTCATTATAAAACAATTCAAATTATAGTGTAAACTCCTGAATGCATTATCATCTTTAGCAAAAAACCTACAGACATTGAACCTATCTCCATTAAACCCATTAAAACTTTGGCACCTTACATATAAATAAGTTGTTCATTATGGCGCACTGGTAAATTAGTATTCACAGAAAACAGTCCTGTGTCTCAATGCAAATGCTAATTGCCTTTCATGGCAAGAATAGTGCTCCACATACTTGATGCCATTCGCCTGGAAGCCTTAGAGCACTCCGCGACCGTACAAGAACGAATACCTCTCACATTTGACTGGTGACTAATGCTACTATGTCCAGCCTTCTCCCCCACTTGTGACTTAGCCTTTTCCAGCTTTCTATGCTCATTATCCAGTTGTGTTGTGGAAGGAACAACTGTTTCCATGAGGACATCATTGTCCAATTTTAAAAGAGCACAGTTCCCTTCCAAAACATGTACAAGAACTGATTATTCATTGCTGACTTGATTCTTTAAGAGCCTAGTTGATATACTCGTTTTGTTTTGTTTTGTTTTCATTTTTTACTCTCCTTCCACACTGTCATTGCAGAGGCAGGGAAACAGTGAGGACACCAGAAACATTTTAGGTCGCCACACATGTACTCTGCTCTTAATTTTCACCAAAGAAACATGAAAGACATTACACAAGAGACTGGCATTAAAATTACTCAGACTGATACAGAGTCCTCTTTGGAGTACTTAGTGTCTAAAGTGAAGAAAATCATCACTCAGTTTAAACATTGGGTTCATCAGACACCATGTCCTGTAGAAGATTGGGAAATGCAAAGAGAGCAAGGCATATGCACTCAGGGAAAGTCACAGTCTAGGTCTCTAAAGAAGTACACATGGAGAGAGGTACAGGACGAATAAACACTGGGATTTCTCCTCAGGTTTCATATCTCATTTTCTCAAATATCTCTTCTGTGTCTATCTTATTATATCTATTAATATAGAGTAATACATATATTGAATACTTATCAACAAAAGGGTATACAATCGAAAAAGTTTAAAAACCACTGGGCATGAATGTAAGGAAATACGTCAAGCATCCTGCAGTGTTTGAAGAATGCATTATCATCTGCTAATAAGCCTTTTCAAGAAAGTTCCAACAAACTGTTATTTTCTATTGGCTAATCTTTTCATTGAGCTTTTCTTTATCACTGCCTGGAGGTCATATGCAACCTGAAGGAGCCAGACACAACTATACTGATGCTCAGTGCATTTCTTAGAGTCACAGTGTTTCATGGTGTAGCTAGAGTATAAACAAAATGATAAAGAGGATCTTCTTCTAGCCCTGCCACTATGACACAGCCAGAAACGAGTCCTCCCTTGACTCAGAGTACAAGTTATCCATAACTTCATTGGGATCCTCAAATCTATCAATGAAATTTTATATAGGAAAGAGAACTTTATATGTTCTCTTCACTTTAATAAAATTGAAATAGAAAAGTGTGTTACATGTTATAAATGTAAATGTGATTTGAGGGCGAATCTACTCCTGCATAGACCCAGAATTTCTGAATCAATTTGCTACAAATTTAAATTTCATTGTATCAGGGATACACTTCCTCTTGAGGAATCACAGAAGGTTCCTCTATATGTTCTGTGGTTTGCATGTGGTTTTCTACACTTTACCAACTTTCAGAAACCATCCATTCAAATTCGGGAAGAGCTGGGCTTGGGGCCAGTGTTCCCATGACTGAACTGGCATATTGAAAGAAAGTCAATCAGGAAGCAGACCTCACCAAGTGCTTGCCTCCTCTTCCAAAGCAAGCCTCTTCTAGGAGAAGAAAAGCAAGGGTTTAAAAGAGAAACCAGAAGAGAAGGAGACAAAGAAGAAGAGGGCAAAAAGAAGAAGTAAAGGTGCTTTCACATTTTCAGTTGCAGCGGTAGCCCCAATTGAGTTAATTGGTATTCATCTAAGAAAAAAAAATCAAGGAAACCAGTTTGAAAATTATAAAAGAAAATAAAGGTCTGGTTTTGTCTTGAATGTTGAGTTCTGTGTTGTTTTGACTGTTGAGCACAGTGAATCAGATTTCTAATGTGACTCCGGCCCTCACCCCCTTCCTCTGAAAATAAAGGGTCTCTTTGTCTAGTCTTAAAATGTTTAGTAATTGGTGGCATTTTGTAGGAGCCTGGCATTTCAATCCTTCATCTTCCTCACCCCACTACTGTGTCTTGTGTCGCATATGTGTATGGTGTGTAGGGGTAGGGGAAGGAGGCCTGACTTATCTTTAATATCTCTATTCCATTCATAGCTCGGGAATGTTTCTGTGTTCTGTCTCCTTGTGATTCCCTGTTCATGTGTGCTGCCCAGAGATAAATCCATGCTTGATTCTCCTTACAGCTGTCAAGCCAGATTCTTTGTAGAATTATATGTTGTACTTTGGTTGAACGCTTTTCTCCTCCCCCCTCCCTTAACGGCAAGCAGAAGAAAAAAATGCTTTCAGTGTTAAGTCATGTTTGTCATTTTTTATATTAAATCTTTACCATTCTTGAAATAGAACTACATTGAAATTTTATTTTATAATCCAGCATGTGACTCAATATTCCACAAACTTTAAGAATTGAGGAGAAAGAAAACTGGGTAAGAATGTTTTTTCAGCAAAATATATACTCCTTACAGTGTTAGGTAATATGGAAGAAGGTTATCTTAAAAATTTACTATGTGGAAATATTTCTGCCTCCCTTAAATCCTAAAACTATTATTTGAATTCATTTTTTCTTTACCTTCCTTTAAGAACTGAAAAACGAATAATACATTAGGCTATATGAAACCTAGACTACTATAATTCACATCTGTTAGCACTCTGATTTCTCCCCCACCCTCTGCTTTATGAAATTCTTCTGGTTTAAGATGCAGTCTTGCCTTGAGGCAAAAATAATGATAACTACTAAATAATTCCTCAGGGTTCTTTCCTGGCCTATGATTTTATGAAATGGAATTATGCTGTTCAAATGTATCCTTGTTTTTACAACTCCATTTAGTTTTACACTGAATGACCTTCTGATTTTGTGCCTTCCTGGCTCCAAACCGTTCTGTTTAAAATTCCTTATCTCACTTCAACCTAAGGCAGTTAGTTCCTCTTTTTACAGTCCTCTGTACCCCCAACCCAGCCCCTCAGAATCCTCTAGGTGGTGCAGACATTGAAGGATGAGGCAACAGAAAATGAAAAAACTGTTGTTTAAAGGGTTTTCTTGTTTTGTACTTTTAGATTATAGTTCTAACTTAGATATATGACTAGGAAGTTAAAGTTTGTTATAGAGGAATAGTGGTAGCAGGTGCTGATAACAGGACTTTCTAATGAGAGAACTCCATAATCATACTTACCAATAGTTGCTAACCTTAGCAGGAAATTAAAAAATGAATATGAAACTTAAATGAAGTCACTTTTTCATCCTAAAGGTGATCCCTTCAAGTTAAGGTACTATGTTTGTGGGCTTTGGGGGAAGTTTTAGGTACACTCTAAAAAAATTTTTTTTAAATGCTGCATTTTAAGCATCTCGCAAATTCATTAACACCTCCTGTTTAATACACAGTTCAAATGGTTCCTGACAAAACTGGCAGTCTAGAATTCTTATTAAAATCATGAATTCTGGAGCCAGACTGCTCAGTTGTAATTCCAACTCCACCACTTAGTAAATGTGACCTTGAGCAAGGTACTTCCCTGCTAGAAAATGAAAATCAAATAGATCTACTCCTGGTACTGCTATGAGGATTAAATGAGATCATGAATGTTAAGCATCTACCCTAGTGCCTGACACATATAAATGTTTACATTATTACCAATTAGGGTGTCTTTTTATTTTTTTTTTTAACTATGTCAGAAAGCCTAAAATATTCACATGGACCATGGTGGAATGAATGATATTCCATATTTGCTTTTTGGGCCAATGTAATTAGCATTCCTCAAATAGGACTCTTTGGCTCTCTATTAAAGGAAATGTGATATAACCCTAATCCTATCTGCCAATCCAAGCAAAATCCAAGTTAATCTTTGTTTATCATTGAGAAAAATACATCAGTAGTCAGACAATTCAAGAATAATATGGTAGTTTGATTTGCTCAAATAGATTCAAGATGCTTTCCTGAACCAGATCTTTTTTTTTTCTTTCTCAAAAATGTTTAATTGGAGTGTTTTCTTCCTTGGTCTTTCAAATGTTAAGTAGCTTCCTTCAATACTTGCCAGATTTTTACTTACATTTGCATATAAACATTCCCACATGTCATTCTAATTAAAGCATTATCATTGATGATAATTTATGATCATTTACTATATTTACAGTGTGGCAGGCATTACTATGGCAGTCACATGAAACCTAATAATCCTCTACAGCATACTTTTGGAAGATTTTTACAATCATATATACTCCAGCGAATGCCATTCCATCTTATGAATTCTAGAAAAATGTAAAAATTAGTTCATTCAGTATTGCTAAACCAGAAGAGCTCTGTTACTTAGCACATCTATGCTTATCAGTATAATGATAAGGGATATTCATTACTGTTTTAAAATGTTAAATTATGTTCAGAATTGTTTCTGTGTTGTGTACCTTTTGTACTGTAATTCTTTGAATTTAATGGACTCAAGATATGTACAATGATTTGCTATTTATTAAGAGAGTATTTTGTTAAAGCATCCTATTAATTGATTATTCTAAAACAATTGGCTGCCTGTAGCTAGTCTTACCCAATATAACTAGCAACTGTGGGTTTGATGGGTTGTTTTTCTTTTTTTAATGTAATAGTGTTTTCCCAATCATTCATTATTCCGTTTCTCAGATATTTTTTGTTTGTTTGTTTAGTAGATTTTTGGAGTGTCAAATCACTGTATTACACTGGATTCATATTTCTCTCTCTTTTTTTTTTTTGGACATTGCAGGTGAAAGTAGGGAAGAAAAGTTAGGAGACTCTTTGCAAGACTTATACAGGGCATTGGAGCAAGCCAGTCTGTCGCCTCTGGGAGAACATCGCATTTCAACCAAGATGGAATACAAACTATCATTTATAAAGAGATGTAATGATCCTGTGATGAATGAAAAACTACATAGGCTGAGAATTCTCAAAAGCACTTTAAAGGTAAGATATGAAATGGAAGGAGACATTCGTTTTAAGAGATTCATTCCTGAACTCAAAGTCGATTATCAGATACTCTAAGGGACAAAATACAAAGTGGGAGGGGGATAAATAGAATGAATGTAATAAGTGTATTTGGCCAAAAGGAAATAATCTTAACTTTATATTAACATCTCAGAGCATGCACAGACTGCATGTTATGTGATTTAGTTCTAGGAGAAAACAGGATGTAATTAATTTTTTTTTTGTCCAAAAATGCAGGGCTAGTGTTATTCCTCAGTCTTTTGTTTTCCTAAGATAAATATGCCATGTTGTAGAATTGATACAGTTATTAAAAGAGCACAGCATTCATGCAGGGGGGTTGCTAAAAGGGTTTGAGATATTTCATGAATATGTCTTGTAGCACATTTGGAGTGAAGCCACATTGTTTCATATTCCATGTGGAAATTTTGTAATTGTGCTGTATACATTAGCAGTTCCCAACTCACATGTCACTTTTTTCTTATACATTTCCATAAGCACTTACATTGTCTCCAGTCTTCTTATGCCACCCCCAGATTGGGGAGGAGGTTGTGAGGAAAGGGAAACAGGCAGGAAGTTGAAGAAGGAGCCAGAAAAGTCAGCCCCCTCACTGTGTGTCTCAGTGGAGAGAGCCTGCCATACATATTCTCCCTAATCAGACCATGCACCCTGAAAAACTCAAAGACAGAAAAGAACTGTCATACCGAGTTTGTGATGCAGTCATTTCAAGAAATAGAAGGTCAGAGAGTTTCTTTGGAAAATATTTCAGATCCATAGGCTACTGCTGAGGTTTCATAACTTTGAAACAGAGTACCAAAGAGATCCTGGGCTTCTCTGGTGGTTCAGTGGTAAAGAATCCACCTTCCAGTGCAGGTTGACACAGGTTTGATCCCTGAGTCGAGGAGATCCCCTGGAGAAGGAAATGGCTGCCACTCCAGTATTCTTGCCTGGAAAGTTCCATGGAAAAAAGAGCATGGTGGGCTACAGTCCTTGGGGTCGCAAAAGAGTTGAACATGACTTAGCGACTAAATAACCGAAGAGATCAACAGAATAGGAAATGCATGATTTGAAAAAACTTCTGGTAGCCAGCAGCCAAGCTCTCATAGTCAATTAGCTCTCAGTTGATATTCATGTGAATGCTGTTGCAAATCCATGGGACAACTTAATGACCTTTTGATAACTAAGACCAAAACTTTTTAAAGAGCTTTAATATACATAAGAATAATTCTGGTGCCCAACTAAGGTCCAGAGATATCCTTACCACTTCCCACTTCATGGAGCCCCCATTCTCATTCAGGTCCAAACTGCCAACTGAGCATCTAGCAGAAGGAGATAGGACAATACAAAAGTAACTCAAGACACAATGTGGTAAGCCCACTCAACAGCAGTGATCAAGCATAATGGGGACTTATAGAAATGAAGGAGAAAACATTTTTTCAGTTGTTTAAGGAAGGCTTGAAGAAATGAGAGGCATATGAACTGGATATTAAAGGATGAGGAAAAGTTTCCATAGGCAGAGATGGGAAAACAGGATAGGCCCTGAAGGAAAAGTAAGCCATACAGAGTGCCTGCATGTAGAAAAAAGTACCTGAGGATTTCAGTCTAAATAGTGAGTTTGAGTATCCAGTGAAGCAGTTCAGTCGTGTCCAACTCTGCAATCCCATAGCCTACAAGTCTCCTCCATCCATGGAATTTTCCAGCTAAGAGTACTGGAGTGGGTTGCTATTTCCTTCTCCAGGGGATCTTCCTGATCCAGGGATCGAACCCAGGTCTCCCGCATTGCAGGCAGATGCTTTACCGTCTGAGCTAGGTAAGCCAGGGAAGCCCAAGTGTGAGTATAACAGAGCTGTTTCTTCTGGGCTTTTGCCTATTAACTCTTTAGTTTAAATTTGAAAAAAATTCTATCCTTTTTGTAACTCTTGAATCCTTTTGTTTTTCAGGCCAGAGAAGGGGAAGTAGCCATTATCGATAAAGTCCTAGACAATCCAGACTTGACATCGAAAGAATTCCAGCAGTGGAAGCAGATGTACCTCGATCTTTTCTTGGATATCTGTCAAAACACCACCTCAAATGACCCATTAAGTATTTCTTCTGAAGTAGATGTAATCACTTCCTCTCTCACACACACTCATTCATACATTGAAACGCATGTGTAAGTGTATTGTGCCCTCTGGCCATTTGGTACCTTCTGGTACTCTGAACAAGTATATAAGGTAGTTTTTATATCAACGTGTGGGACACGTTGACAAGCTATACTTTAATGTTACCATTATATGAAACAAACCCTATATGGTCATAATACCACTGTCTTTAATGAGCATTTGTATATTTTATATGCAGTTAGTGCTCAGCTTATGTTTACCATGTGCAAAATCAACTGTCTTCAATGATTCAAAATTAACTTTTGCAAACAACCCTGAAGACAGGTGGTCTTCAAGTAGAAAAAAAAAACACAAAAAGGCAGTTTTCTATCTAAGGTCATCTTTTCTCCCTTTAAGTTAATTTTATATAAACAAGACTTCAAAACTAAATCACATTTTTTCAGGTGCAGACATCCTTGTGGGTGGGAAAGAATTTAAACCTTTTTTATATTTATTAAAATGTTCTAAGGATTTTCTTAAACATTGCACAAAGTTTAATGCTGTAGTTTTATTTTTGTGAAATGTAGATGCGCATACATACAAGAGTTAAGCAAAATAGAAGAGCATCAACATAAGAAAAGTTCAGGTATCAAATATTCGTCTTAATAGTCTATTAACTTGTGAAAGCTGGTTAATGGAAATACTATTCCATATCCATGGGGACACTCAATGGTGTATCAGGGCAAAGCTTTGTAAGATGTTTTTGTAACTGAGACCAAAATTGAAGATAGAGCTGCTTTATTTTCTTGGTTTAAATCTTCCTTTATTTTTGTAGTGATGAAATGCTGATTGTGTACAGAGGAATTTGAGAATGAATTTTTTAAAACACACTTAACTCACCCAGAAAGGCAGCTAACATATATATATATAATTTCAGCCCAAACTCATGTTTTTAAACTCCAACTCCTAAAAACCTACAAGGTATAAACGGAAATGAATCAACTTTCCAGTTAGTGTCCAATTTTCCCCCTAGTCCGTTAGTGAAACTTATGTAATTATACTTCAGGCAGGGAAGTAAAATATGTTTGGTTACAGGCTGATGTGTGTTCTAATATAGAAAACAATGTTGAAAAAGAAAAATGTACCTCCTGAGGAGCAAGAGGATGATGGTCAAAGAGATATTACATTGAACTATACGAGACAAACCATTTTTAGAGGTTTTTCCTAGTTTCATGATTTGTTCTATAGAGTGGATAAAGTCTATGAAAAAATCCTCTTCATATATTTCCATTTATAAGCATCTCATTTTTGGAAAAGTGATCACAGCATGATACTGACTGTGCTGCTTTTTAGTGTCTGGCTGCATAACGTACAAGTCACAATTTGCTGGGTTTTGGTTTTGTTTTTTTTCTTTAGAAGGAGGAAGAGACCCTCCTTCCCTCTTCTATATCCTGAAATCTACTTCTAATCAGCTTTATACTGTTGCCTGTACAGCTCAGTGAATGTACTTTCATCTCTAAGAGTTCAGATATCTGCCAGTGACTATTTTTGCTGTAGAGAAGAAAGTAAAAACTCCACAGCGAGGATCTTTTTCTTTGCTTTTGAAACCACCATTGAATCACTATCGTTTTGCAGACTTTGCACAACTGTACAGGAGAGTGGCCTTTCTACAGCACATTTTCAGTAATCCTATATTTAGTCAAAGTGGATGAGAAATCATGTATTAATGTTTGTATGGAATTTGGGGTCCAGTGTAATATTTTTATCATTTAAAAAAACCAATTTGTAAAAACATTTATTTACTGCATGGATATTGACGCACATTAAATTTGTGGGATTTTGTATATGCAAAAAAACAAAACAAAAACAAAAAGCAACAAAAAAAAAAAGAAACCTCTTGTCCTAAAATGAAGTGTGCTTGTTACAGGTGTTTAGACTTGTTGATGTTTACTAGACCAAATGTGTACATTTACTTAAAAATATCTGTACCTGATGGATGTGTCGTGGATACAGTGGCCAGATTGTGCCACTGTCAACAGCGAGCAGTGGATGGAAAGACTAGCTGTGTTGCTACTAAGTGGCTTTTACTTTGGTGAAGTTGGCTCTGTTGTTTTAAATGGTAAAAAGTAAACTAATGAATTTTAAAAGACTTGTGGCTAGCTTAGCATGAAAGAGACCTTTAACGCTATATATCTGTACATTTTATTGCATTAGTTTCAAATCTAGGAGAGAGGCGGCACTGTAAACTGAAGTCAAATAAATTCAGCTCTTAATGAATCCTTATAAAGCACCTATTTTATTCATGCAGTCCACATCACATTTCTTTGTGACCGAATCACACGCCACCCCACCACCCCCAGTTACAAGTTTTAACTTTGTCACTCCACTGTGGTATAAGCCAAAAGAGGCAATGTCCAGTATATACAAGAATCTTCTCTGAAATCCTGCAAAATCAAGTTGGTTTCCCATTTACCTGACACAAACTAAAATTTCACCTGCCGCTCTTTCCTTTCTCTGTGATTCTTTTGGGAAGGTGGGGTAGAGGGTCTGTGAGGCAGGGTACCATCAAAAATAAATAGCAATATACCTTCTTCTTAAACGTGGTAATCCTTTAGAAGTTGAAAAGTTTTATTTATTTATATGTTTTATAAAGAATAAAGTTATTGAAGGAAAAAAAAATAAACTTAAAAAAATTTTTTTTCAAGTATTACCTACAGCACGTCTGCAGAATGAACATTTAAAGAGGATGAAAGAAATAGGGGCTTTTTTAGCTGCTGCTGCTGAGTCGCTTAAGTCATGTCCGACTCCGTGCGACCCTATGGACTGTAGCCCACCAGGCTCCTCTGTCCATGGGATTCTCAGGCAAGAATACTGGAGTGGGTTGCCATTTCCTCCTCCAGGGGATCGTCCCAACCAAGGGATAGAACCTCTTATGTCTCCAGCATTGGCAGGCAGCCTTCTTACCACTAGCGCCACCCGGGAAGCCCCTTTAAATGTTCTACTAAATCAGAGAAGCCGGATTATTATGGCTAAGGGCTGTACAAATAAAACTTAAAACCTATAAGCTGCCAAAAGTCAGAGCAAAGGCAGACTAGGGTAAGTAAGGATGAAGTACAGAAAAACTTAACCTAGGTTATTTTCTCCAAAAAATAAAGTGCTTTCTAGGAGATTTTTTTTTCTCAGTTCCGTATCTATATTAAACCATCAGAGCAGAACTATAACCATGATTCTGTATCATAAAATCATAGTTCTCCCTACAATGATTGCATGTTTTTTAACCAAGGCACTTTCCCTTCACTATTTATTCAGATAATGCCATCTTCTAGAACCATTTATTACAGTCATTATACCTAACAATTTTCTGGTCTGGTATATAACTTATTATGGTACATTTTTTGGCTGTTTGGCACAAAAATAATCACTATTTAGAACCTGGGAAACACTTTTAAGTACAAGAGGGAAAATGGGGTCATATTTTATTTTCGAAAGTCCATCTCTAGCCCAACATGAGAATTTCTAGAAATCCCCAGCTCACTGGAGATGATTCATATATCCTTCTAAATTTGATCCCTCCTGTCTCCCATTCTCAGAATAAGGGCAAAAGTTTTTCTTTGGCCAAGTCTAGGAAAAGCCCATGACTTGCTCCTCCCTAGCCCGGAGGCTGCTTAACCCATTAAGCCCAGCACAAAATCCAGCGTCTCTCCCGGCTCTGCCTCCCTCTGCTCGTCCCCACCCTCTGCCAGCTGCAGCACTGCGCACTGCAGGCCGCTCCAGGCCCAGGGCAGCGCGCAGCCAATATCCTCCCAGCGGTCCAGGTCGAGGTCATAGCCCACCACGTTGCGGGTGGGCACCTGGCGTGAGTCCCGCCACTTGAGGCCGCCCAGTAGCAGCACCGTCTCCTCCACCAAGGCCAGCCCATAGCAAAAGCGGTCGTAGGGTAGCGGCCGCAGCCGAGTCCACTGGTCAGCGCTGGGGTCGTAGCGCTCGATCTCGGAGAAGGGCTCGTAGCGCCCCAGAAAGGCGAACACCGCGCCGCGCAGGGCGGCCATGTGGTGCCCGAAGCGGGCCGTGCCCATGGGCGCTCTCTTGCTCCACGCCTGCTCCCCGGGGGCCAGGGAGAACACGTCCCGGAGGCTGCTCGCGCCCCCGTCGCCTCTCCCCGCCTTGCCCCCGGAGATGTACACGACGCCGCGGTCCCCGACGGCGCCCGCGTGGCCGTGCAGAGCCCGCGGCAGCGCCCCGGCCGCCGTCCAGCGGTCCCGGCGCAGGTCATACATTTCCACCGAAGCCAGCGCTTGGCCGCCCGCCCCCAGGCCCCCGACGGCCAGGAGCCCCTCGCCCACGGCGCCGCACCAGAAATGGGCCCGTGCTTCCCGCATAGGGGGCACGGTCGTCCACACGTGGAAGCGCGGGTCGTAACGGTGCACTTGGGCCGTGACAGCCAGCGGACCGTCGGCTGGGGGCGAGCAGGCGCCGCCCGATGGGCTCTCCCCGCCCAGGACGAAGAGGAAGTTGCCCGCGACACACACGCTGTGCGCCAGCAGCTGAGCAGGCAGCCGCGTGAGGCTGCGCCAGCGGTGGTTGTACACGTCAAAGGCCACCACGTCCTGGGTGAGCTCCCACTCCTCCTCCTCCACCTGCTCCTCTTCCTCCTCCTCCTCCTCTCCCTCCTCTTCCTCCGGCGCCGGCGCGGCGGCCCTGCCCCGGGCTGCCCGCGGGGGGACCACGACTTCCTCAGTCACCACCTCCTGCCCCCGGCGCCCCCCGACCAACAAGATGCGGGTTTGAGGGCTCCGGACGCTGGTCTGCTCGCCCTGCAGGAGCGGCTGGCGGGAGGGCGACGTGTGGTAGTTGAGGGCCTGGATGATGAGGCCCTTGACCCGGGCGGGCAGGGTGAGGCCGGAGCCCGAGTACACGCGCCGCAGCACGTCGGCGGGCACGAGGCCGAAGCGGACCCGCTCGAGGAGCTGAGTGCAGTGGGCCAGGCGTTCGGCCTCAGGCTCCTGCCGCAGCCAGGCCAGCGCCAGGCCCAGCAGCCGGGCCTCGGGCACCCGCGCCACGTCAGGGGCACCGAGCACGGCCCTCAGCGACGCGGGGTTGAGCTCCAGAAGGCCGGCCGGGCCCGCGCCCCGCGCCAGCAGCTCCCTCAGGTGGGTCACGATGCAGCGTTCGGCCGCGCCCAGCGTGTGCGCCAGGCCAAAGCGAGCCGCCACGTTGGCGGCAAAGCAGCAGTTCTCCGGGGCCAGCTGGCGCTCCAGGTAGCGGCCGCAGAGCCCCAGGGCCTCGGTGACCTGCAGGTAGCTGGCGGCCTCCAGCGTGTCCTCCACTGTGTCCATGGAGAGCGGCAGCCAGGCGGTGTAGATGAAGTCCAGCAGGCGCTGCAGGCCCGCCGCCGACGGCACGTGCAGGCGGATCACGCTCGCCCGGGATTCCCGGGTGTGACTCTTGAACAGAGCCCTGAAGTAGTCGCTGGAACACGCGAGGAGCGACCTGTGCGCCGGGAACTCGCTGCCCTCCGCCTCCAGCGTCACGTCGCACAGGAAGCCCTCGGCGCGCAGCGCCTGGTAGCCGGTGAGCAGCGAGCCGCCATGAGCTTTGCAGTAAGACAGGAAGTAACTCATGATGCCCAGGGCGGGAAGCGGCCGGGCGGGGGCTGGGGCCAGCCAGGCGCGGCCGGAGGCATCCCGGGACACGGAGCCCCCGGGCCCCCCGCGCGAGCCGAAGAGCCCCTAGCAGGGGTCCATTTTTGCCTGCTCAGCTTAAAGCCCAGGCCTCCTTCATACAGGTCCGCAGATCTGCCCGTACCCTTCTCAGAGCAAATCTGGTAGGGAAACGATTTCCAGAAGCACCTAGCAGCGGAGAGCGCCGAGTTTGGAGTTTTCCGGGAGGTGCAGGGTTCGGTTTCGGCGGCTGCCGAGGCTGCCAGCGCGTTGCCCAAAACCCCCTCCCCGGCCCTGTTTGGGGAGCCCACACCTGCGCGCCTGGGGCCGCAGTGGCCGCGCACCATCACCTGGAAGGGCGGAGCTGCGGATGGATTGACTCCCGGGGGGTGCTGGATCTCCGACGGCCCAGATGCACAGATGGGGCCGGACGAGGGCTGTCCGGGAAGTGCGGGGCGAGGGCTCTGACCTCCTGGGGGTGGACAAGGAGGGTTCTGCGGGCACCGGCGAGGGCCGGGGACAACTAGCTAAGGGGCAGGGGGGGTGAACTTGTTCCGCGCGGAGGATCAAATCAAAGCCTGGGGGATTAGGGAGGAGGGGCGCGGGTCAGCGCGACGGGTCGGAGGCGTGATTGGGCGCCACACATAACATGCCAGTAGCTCACAGTGACAGGAATAGCGCGCGGCCTCGGCCTCCCTGGCGCGCCCCGCCCCGCTCCCCGGCTGCTGGCTGAGAACCGAGGGCGCGGGAGGAAGCGGCCCGGCCTGGGACATGACTCTCGTGACCCATCAAGCCGCCGGTCACCAGGGGTCCTGGTAACCCGGCTGGGGGTGCGGAGAGCGCTCACCGGAGAGGCGCAAGTCGCGGGGACGCTGCGCTTGGTGGTGTCTGGGGAGGGGCGCTCGGCTGGGCCGGAGGAGTGATGACCCCCCTCCCGGGGCTCCTGTGGTTGGGAAAAAGGCCCCTGGCTCGCAGCTTTCTGCCTCAAGGAGGCCCTAATTAATCCTTCGGGAGCGGGGATTAAGCGGCGATTTTGCGCGCTGACACCCAGGAGCCCGCTACGCGCAGAGGAGCCGCTGGCCGGAATCTTGCCCCGGCGAATCCAGGCTCCCAGCCAGTGGCGCTCCGGCGCACGCCCCTCACCTGGACTCACCCTTGCGTGATGCTAGGCCTACTCTGCGCCCTTCCCGAGGTCCCTGGCTTGTCTCACACTCCGCTTTCGGGAGTTTGCACCCACCTCGCTCCCCGACCCCGGCTGAGTTCTCCCTTCCTGCTCTTAAACCCTGCCTCGCCCATCCCTTGGCAAAGTGGACGAGGAAACTGTAGGTGACTTGGGTTTTCTGCTTTTGAATGACCACTTCCTTTAAGAAAATAAGTCTTTGCAGTTTCTCTCCCCGACTTTGCAGTGTATTAGTCGCTCAGTCGTGTCTGACTCTTTGCGACCCCATGGACTGTAGCCCACCGGGTTCCTCTGTCCATGGAATTCTCCAGGCAAGAATACTGGAGTGGGTAACCATTCCTTTCTCCAGGGGATCTTCCTGACTCAGGGGTCGAACCCAGGTCTCCCTCATTGCGGGCAGATTCTTTACCATCTGAGCTGCCAGGGAAGCTCCAGGCTTTCCAGGCTCTGATTTAATTAAGGCCCGCCCCGTCCTCAGTGCTGGAATGTGATAATGGGCAATAAGGTTGCAAAGCTGGCAGAGGCTACGGTTTCAAAGCGCCCCTCCTCAGGAAGTTATTTTTATAAGGTGCACCAAACACAGAAATGATGGCTAAAACCACCCTAATCTTGAGACATTAGGAAAGCCTTTCTCCATCTCCAGCACCCTGTTCTTAAAGAACTAAACGATTAATATAACTGCTCTTTCTTGCCAGTTTGAAAGGTTCTGTGTGTTTTGCTTTCGTCTAGAATTGATTTTTCTGTTTTCTAATACAACCTCTCTGGTAATCTATTTTAAGCAAACCTTTTTAATGCGTTTGAAGTGACTGCATTTCTTACAGTTGAGGTTGTATTTCATTTAAAAAAAGCCAAGGAAGGATAAAATTCTATCATTTTCTGCCTGGTATGCCATTGGTATTACGAGGTCTCCACTTAGAAGTAATTCTTGAAGCACATAAAAATAAGTAAAATGATTTTGCTTTGTTGTCAAAGATAGAACTGTTGTACAACTTAAATTAGACAAATTATAAAATGCAGGCAGAGGCTCAGGTTAAGGGCTTGCTTAAACTCCAGAGGCTAAAAATACTGCAATTTGAATTCCTAATGTAGAGCTACAGATGGGTTGGGGGAGGAGAGGATGCTGGTTGGTTTAGGTTTTTCTTTTCTTTTCTTCAGTACTAAAATTCTTAGCTCAAAAATAAAATACCAGCTTGGTTCACTATGCACAGATCTGTATGGTGAAGTTAAATGGGCTTTATTCAACCTGATAGAATTTTGCTAGAAGGGATATTTGACATCATTTAGCCAAACCCTTTCCCTTTCCTCCCCCAATTTCTTGTTTTTCTTTTTAAAAATGTGGCTGATGAGCCCCAGAGGGAGTACGGCTTGTCTGGGTGACTTGGATATTGAGTTACAGAGTCTGGACCTATATTATGTGACCTCGTGTATGATAAAAATAAAGTAGTGCAGTGCACAGTCAGTTGATTTAAACCAAATTTCACAGTGATGAAGTTTAAGCACAGTTTTTAAAACAGCATATTTCTAACCCCCAAATTGAACCACACATCCCATCAGCTCTGTCCATCAGCATGCATTCAGTTTGAATCCAGAATGTCACGCTTACTTGAAAATAGGGATGCTGTGGAAGACTTTAAACTCCTGACATCAAAAATCCAGTTTTAAACAAGTACCTGTTCATCGCCAGCCCAACATGCCACTTTAATATATTTTGCCATTGAGGATATAATGAACTGTGTTAAGTGAGAAAATTTTCCTATTAGATGTGTCTACAAGGTCTTCTTTAGAAAATGTATTAAAACTGTCGATCCATCCAAGAACATTATTGTCCTTTGAGTAGCATTTATGGAAAGTATCAATATTTTAATTTCTTGGCAATATTAAGTAGGATGTGATTGGTCTGTTGAAAATAATCAGCTTATAAGTTGTCCTCCCCCTTTAGACTATGAACTTCTTGAGGCCGGGAACTACTTCGTGATCTTTTTATGTCCATCCCCGTCATAGTCTTTGGCATAAGTAATGGTGAGTTGAACAGATATAGGGAATGACACTGTCAGTAGGAGAAGTAAAGGGCTGTTAAGAGGGACTTGACTTAAGACAATTACTTCTTTCTTTCTGCTTCTCTTCCTTTCACACAGCTGCAGTTGCAGACACCCCCTGATACAGCCATGAACTAACATCCCTAGGAATCAAGTGGCTCACCATGAGTGGCCCACAACTGAGAGAAGGTTGGACCGTGTCATTCAACTCTCTGTCCTACATCCCTAGTCCTTTACCAAGACCAGCCCCACATGGCTCTTGGCATCTAGTCGGACATACTACTCTTCCTCCTCCTCCTGGGACGCATGGCCCCAGGTGCTCCAGCAGCTCCTCCACACCCCACTTTGTATGGCCAGGCTTCTGCTAAAGGCCCAGCTATACACTCCAGTGTGCCTGTTGGGACCCTGCCCTTTCTCTGAGCCCCTCACCCCATGTCAGGACTGTGACCTTCTGTCAACCATCCCTTTCATACATCTGCATCTCCTGTGACAGAGCCTAGAACTAAAGTTCTCCTAGCACCCATCTCACTTCCCACATCAAAGTAGCAGTGCTAGTCAACCATGGCACTCCACATTCCCTGAATGGGCCCTACCTAGCTAAATGTAAATTCCATAGTTCCCACCTCTAAAATAATTGTATTTGTTGAAAAAATTCCACAACTAAAAACATCCATGTATAATGGACACTTACACTTTTTTTGCAAATGTAATCTGCAATGGTAACAGCTTTGTTGAGATATTGTCCATATAATACACAATTAACTTGATCAGAGTGTACAATTCAATGGTTCTTAGCATATTTCCAGAGTTGTGCAAACATCTCCAGAATCTCATTTTGGAACATTTTCATAACCTCAAAAAGAAACCCCATGCTCTTTAATTCTCACTTCCCTGTACCACCTGTCCCCCAAGCCCTAAGCAACCACTGCTCTATTTTCTGTCTCTATAGATTCTGGATATTTCATGTAAATGGAATCATGTAATACGTGGTCTCCTGGTGATTGACTTCTTTGACTTAGCGTAATGTTTTCAAGGTCCATCCATTGTAATGCATTTTTGAGGGAAAAAATAAAAGAATTTGTATAATAATAACATTGGGAACTTTTTCTCAAAACCACAACATTCTAAAATGTGCTGTTTGATATTTAAGATACAGTTTTGTCAGGTTAACTCTTCTGTTTAAGAATTTTTTATATGTATTTTTATTTTTTTGGCTGCACGGGTCTTAGTTACAGCATTGTGGGATCTAGTTCCCTGACCAGGGAACCTTTGCCCGCTGCATTGGGAGCATAGAGTCTTAGCCACTGACATGCCAGGGAAGTCCCTTGGCAGATTAATTCTTTATCATCTATCGCTACTGACTCTTTTCAATCCCAAGATGCTTCCTTCCACACATGATTTCTGGAAAATTCCATGGAGAGCCTATTATTAGAAATTGACACATTAACTTAGCTAATTGTGAAAACATGATTACAAAAAATAACAGACATTCAGTAGAGAAAAAAATCCCATATTAATGTCACTCAGGTTAGCAAGACCATTTTTTGTGGATGTGAAACGTATTTTATCTTTCTGCAGCTTAAGTGAAAGAATTTCAAGGGGTAGAGTGTGTGTGTGTGTTTTAATCATGAGTGATTTGGGCATTATGGGCCAACTGACAGCTAAAGAAGCAATGTGGTGGACTTTGGGGTCAGACAGATCTGTACTCCAATTCCAGATCTGCCCTATTAGATTTTAAACAAGTGACTTAAATTCTGTGAATGTCTTTTTAGGTCCTCAACCAGGGATTGAATTCAGGGCTATGGCAGTGAAAGCATTGAACCTTATACACTGGATCACCAGGGAACTCCCTCATTTTATTATTTTTAAAATACTGCTTCTACTTTCATAGCACTGTCAAAATAAAATTAGGTTATGTATCTATGACAATTCCTAGCCCGAGTATACAAAATAGATGAGTTTCTCTTCCTTCTCCCTCCCTTAACTTAAAACATTCTGAAAATTCATAATACCAGAGGCCAAGCAGCCAGGAAATGTAATAGCAGTAGTTTTCAGTGTTTCTCCTGCAGCATCACCTGGCAACCTGTTAAGTGTAAATTCTTGGCCCCATCTCAAACCTAATACATCAGAAACCCTAGAAATGGGCCCAGTAATCTGCTTCACAGCAAGCCCTTCCAGTGATTCTGATGCACAAGAAAGTGTGAAAACACTGTGATAGAGAATTGATGATAATTCTCTATTCTCAATTTTGGGAATCATACATCCCAAATTCACTATTCTTGGTAACAGCTTGTTCTGAACATGATTATCAACATTTTCCCCCCAAAAAAGAGGAAGCCCACTGGCTCCAAAAGGCCAGAGGTTGGAGACTTAGATGAGAAAAATTAGTAGCTCTGCCCTACATCATATGACTCTAAATTGTGGGCTTGTTTGCCCTTCCCCACCCCAGAGAAGATTGCAATATTAACAGTGATCTCTGTGGCATGAGATGATTCAGTAATCAATGCATTTTCCCAAACAACACTTGATTGAATACTCAAATCAGAAAGTGGGAAAG